ATTCTTACAAAAAGACTACATTTATATACATGTAACTTATCATACAAAATATATACAACAGCATAATTTTGGTGTAAAAAAATGAAGTTGCCAAAATATAACATGTAATTTACACAAAACATATCCTGGTTAACTTTTGTCAAGGGCTTCACCTATTAGTCGAACAGCGACAGTCTTGCCTTCATCTGTCTGGATAACAAGTAAGGCCTCAAATCTGCCTACTGACTCTGGTCTGAGGTACATGGGGATGTGGATATAATGTCGGGCTCTGTGGAGAAAAGGGAATGATAGCAGGTAAGGTGACAGCACAAGTAGCCACCTGCCACAGGACAGTGCTGACACCGGCCTAAGGAAAGAATCAAGATACACCACTGAATGCTATTCCTAATTTCTTTGATGCTACTATTTAACAAGAAACTGGAACAAGGAAAGAAAAATCTAGCATGCCTGAGGCCTTGGATTCAGTCCACAGCATTGTTTTGTTTCTGTTTCTGAGACAAGGGTCTCATGCTGTTCAAGCTGAGCTCAAAGTTGCTATGCAGTTTGAGCAAGGAAGATCTGAACTTCTAATCCCCTTATTTCCTTCCACTTCTGAGATTACAGGAATTTGCCGCCACACTGGACTTCTGTGATGCTGGTTATGGAATCCAGGGTTTTGTGCATGTTAAAGGCAAGTACTCTACCAACTGAGCTATATATATCTCCAACACCCCCCACTAAACCAAACAGACTGACACAGTACTGCAACTGTGTCTCTGGTTATCTAATTAAAACAGAAGAGGAAATGAGCACAGCCCTGACAGTGACAGCTATTTCAAATGTCCAGATTCCCGTGCCACAGTTACTTTGTGTCAGTGCCTTTCAGCTGCCTCCTCTGTCCCCCAGAGCCCCAAACCTATGTGCTCCTACTCACCTTCCTCCGGCATCACCATCCACTCACTACTTCCCAAGGAGGCCCATGCAAACCTACCTCCTAGGTGGTGAGCACTGAATGAGGAGTCTACCCAACTCTGCTCAAATCCTGCTGTTTATTTTGTAGTTGGGCATGTCTCTTGTACATTCATCAAAGTTTGCTGGTTGTAGACCTTCCTTGTTGAATTGTAAGAAGGACTAAGTGAGAGGCTGGAGTACTCAGCACAGTACATTCTACCTACTCAGAGATTACTAGCTATTGCTCTGATCCCCATCTCTCCCCAGGCTTTTCTATCTTTGCTGAGTCACAGCTAAAAGATAGTCAGCTTTTTAAAATTAACCATTAGGAGCCAGGTGTGGTGGCACATGCCTTTAATCCCAGCACTCAGGAGGCAGAGGTAGGCAGATCTCTGTGAGTTTAAGGCCAGCCTGGTCTACATAGTGAGTTCCAGGCCCCCGTTGGGGTTACAGGGAGACCCTGTCTCAAAAAGACCCAAAAAAAAAAAAAAGCAATTATTAGGGAAGGTTTGTAGGTTTGTTCTCATCCATAGAACTGTACCCCGAAATATACCTTTATAGCTGTGGTAATGACTGTTGTACACTTTATGCATAATGTCCTATGTGTCATCATCGAATTTTGGTCTTAAAAGTGAAAGTTGACAGTTTCACACTTTTCCTCATAGAGGGAAGCCCTTTACCCTGTATTCTCTTCTCAGAGCAACAAGACTGAAGTGTGGTGATCAGAAGTGGCATATGCTCTTACTAACAATGTTGTCTCATGAAACCTAGTATTGGCTTTAAGATGCAGAACATGTTGGGCTAGAGATTTAGAAGAGAACTTACGTATCTACAGTCCTTTTCCTGGATATACCTGATAAGAGATATGTAACATCTTTATAGCATATGTATTTGTCTCTTGCGGTACACAGGTACTGACTGGTTCCAGGACCCTCCCAGACAGCCAAAACTGTGGTTTCTCATATCCCTTACAAAAAGTGTAGCATCTACACATAACCTATGCATACCCTTCTATATACTTAAATCAACTCTACATGACTTGTAATATGTAATACAATGTAAATAGCATATAAATAGTTGTTATGCCATATTAGGAATAATGACAGAAAAAAGTGTGTACTTGTTTAGTACAGACCCAATTCTTTTTGTTTAATATTTTCAATCTACAGTTGGTGATACAGAATCCACTGATACACAGGGCTGTGTACACATGCACATATCCATAGCAAAGATAATGTGTATCTCCATTGCTACTTATCTACGTATTTTTAAATCAAATTTTTGCAGTGCTGGGATTGATGCTAGGGCCCTGTACATGCTAGGCAAGTACTCGCTCACTGAATTACGTACTTGCTCTTATCCTTTTATCTAAAGTCAGGGTTATTTTCCCTAAATTCAATGCACTTTGTTATGTTAAAGCTAAAATGCTTTTCCTTTTCTTTTTAAATGAAACCTAGTCTGTGGCATTAATGATAGCTAGCATTTCAATATGCAGAGTAAAAAGGCACTATCATTTATGAACTACTAGAAATAAGAAAATATCTCAAAATAAGTCTCTGGAAGAGATTTAATTGGAGGGTTTGAAGCATCCCCTAAATGTGTTGACAGCCTGGTCTCCAGCTGGCGGATCTGATGACTGGGAGGCGACTGAATCCTGAGGGCTCTGACCATTTCATCATAATTCATAATTTGGTGACATTACTGTAGAGTAGTGAACAGTAGGAGAGGCTGGTGAAGGCTGGGGCATGCCCTTGAAGGATCAATTTTGTTGCTGGTCCTTCCCCTTTTCTTTTTGCTTTCCTGAAATAAGGTGAACTGCTACATCAAAGGCCCAACAGCAACAGAGCAAACTGACTACAATCTCTCAAAGCATAAGGACTACAATCTCTCAAAGCATAAGACAGATAAATTCTTCTTCCCTTAACTTTTCTTAGGTTTTTTTTTTTTTGGTCTTTTTGAGACAGGGTCTCCCTGTAGCCCCAGCTGTCCTGGAACTCACTATGTAGACCAGGCTGGCCTTGAACTCATAGAGATCCAGTGGCCTCTGCCTCCTGAGTGTGGGGATTAAAGGCGTGCACCACCACACCCGGCTTCTTAGGTATTTTGACAGGAAAGCTAACTCAAAGTACTGATAAACTATACTTACAATAGATGTATCTTCTTATTCAGAAAGAGCCATGAAATTTAACACAGCTCAACAGCACTATGAGCAAGATGGACATGTCTAAGACAGAATTTGTACTATTAACAGTTTCATCTGTTACTCTTCATGCAGATGGGAAAAGAGTAGTTCACTGAGCCCTTGGAAAAGCTTAGTTCAAATCTCCATACTACCCCACAAGTATTTTGACAAGAGAGGCACCAGAGCACAAGTGCATGGAGAAGGCAGTGTGGCCATCAGGTGAGTCCACCAGCTGGAAAGAGCTTAACAGAGCTCACAGATTCCATCAAACATCATTTTCCTCTTTCTTCTTCCCTTCAAATTTGAAAGAAGTATTTTTATAGAAAAAAGCTATCACCACATTAAGTATGTCCAGGATACCACCACTGTCAAAGAAATGTAAAACAACGCAAATGCTTTGCTTCCTGTATTCTGGGATTGGTCATAAGAGTCAATGACAAGTGGCTGCCACTTATGTATGGCCTGTCCTCTCTGAAGTGACACCTGGGGTCTGCCATCTCAAGAACTCACCAGGACTGAGTAGCTCATTCTGAGTGTGGACACAAGGGCACACTCAAAGGGAAAACCACAGGCTACTGCACCTCAGGGGAGACCAGATATATACGTGTGTGTGTTTGTGTGTGTGTGTGTGTGTGTGTGTGTGTGTGCGTGCGTGTGTACGTATATGTAGCACATACACAAAAGGTTAACATAACTGTAAAACATAACTTTCTCCCCTCCTTCTCTCTCAACAGGGCCTCACTGTAGCCCCAGCTGTCCTGGAACTTCCTATACAGACTAGGCTGGCCTTAAACCCACAGAGATCTGCCTGCCTCTGCCTCCCAAGTGCTGGAACTAAAGGTGTGTGCCACCAGGCCCAGCTGAACATGTCTTTTAGAAGAGCTAAGAAAGAAATGATCAGTTAGGGACCCCCAGAAGAACCTTTGCCCATGAATATGCTACTAATATTTCTTTTCCTTATTACCTAATTTGTAATCGGCCAAACATTCATGATTGCTTACCTCTGCACTAGGCAGAGCTCTTGTGACTTCTTGGGCACTCTTGCCTCATTATGCTGCAGTCAGTAAACAGCCCACAGCAACACACCACTTTTGTGTGAGTGCTGGAACTTGCATAGCCAAGCCTCCAGTGGTCTTGGCAAAGGAATATGTATAAGGTGATCATAACCTCATATACCTTACAGATGAGCAGTCACATTATTTTACTGGAAGTGTGCATTTAATGGCGCCACTGAGCAGACCACAATCAAATAAACAGAAAATGTAATTAATAAAAGGCTCAGAACGGTTTCTCAGGGTTTTGAGACTAGGAATTTTCTTCCATTTGCCAAAACTAACTATTGCTCTCAACTAGCAATTACATTTTATGAGTCGCTTTGTCAAAAGTCAAAGCCCCTGTTATTTGGGACAAATTACAAAAGCAATCAATTCCAGTGAGAATAGTTCTCACTATTGCAGTTTTGTGGTGAATACTCTCCAGTGAGGTCCAGTGGTCAGCACTTCCTGCTATTCCTCATGACCATGAAGATGCTGGCCTTTTTACCTTGCTTCACACAGATTCTAAGCCATTTCATGCTTGCAGAGAAGTCTTTTGTACCTGAGGGTTTTCTTTTACATATAGTTAGTACTTTCCGCAGTATATGAGATTTATACTCATTGTTACTAAAATTGATGCTGGAATCTAGGAATCTATAACATTGTGCATTTATAGTTACATGTTAATAATGAATGGCCATCAATACTTTCTGAAAATACTTAATGATCAGAATGACCTAAGAACCTGCCATTAATGAAGCACAAAATAATTCCCTTTAAATTTGTCTTCAGAGTCTAAAAGTTTTAAATATGCTGAGAATGTATAAACAAAATAGATCTGAGCGATCCAAACCCTTAGATTACCTGAAAATGTTCAAATTTTCCTTAACCTAAAAATTTCTCTTATGGCAATCAGGCATGGTGGAATATGCCTTTAGTCCCAGCACCTGGGAGGCAGAGGCAGGAAGAACTCTTGAGTTCAAGGCCAGCTAGGTCTTCACAGTGAGTTCTAGGCTAGCCAGGGCTACATAATGAGATCCTGTCTCAAACAACAACAAACAAAACAACTAAAAACCTCTTATGTATCTAAGTTCTTTCAGACCCATTGTGGTAGTTAATATTGTCAACCTGATAGGATCTAGAATCACCTAGACAATCCTCTGGGTGTGTCTATAAGGGAGTTTCTAGATTGGGTACAGCGAGGTGGGAAGACCCTCCCTAAATATGCACAGCACCAATATAAAGACTTGGGGTCCTGGACTGAGTAATACAAAAAGTAAGCTGAGCACAGCACTCACCTCTTTCTTGGCTTCCTGACTGTGGATGCCATGTGACCTACTGTCTCTCAAATTCCCCACTATGATGAACTCAAACTGTGTGTTAAAATAAACCCTTTCTTCTCCTGTTGCTTTTGTCAGGTATTTTGAAATAGCTTTGAGAAAAGTAACTAATGCACCCAGGTTGTACACAAAAGTGCAGTTCAACCTGACAAAACGTTGTACCATTAGGGCAGCAAGTCAACAAGTTCACAGGTCAACAAGTTCAACAATAATGGACATTTTTAACTGTCTAACAGTGAACACCATTTTTATTTTATTTGGTCTTGTTATGTAGTCTAGGTTGGCTTCCCAACTGCTGGCACCCAGAGACACTGGGATTTTAGGTGTGCGCACCATAACTGGCTATACTTTTTATATGTTCAAAATTGTTTTTTGGAAGATACGCAAAATGTCATTTCTCATCATTTCCTACCAGGCTATTACAGTGCAACTAGAATCTACAAAAGAAGTGGCAAAACTACCAAGTTCAGGTACCTTCACATGGATGTGCTTCATCTTGTTTAAAAATTGAGATGAGGGGCTGGAGAGATGGCTTAGCGGTTAAGAACACTGGTTGTTCTTGCAGAAGACCGGGGTTCAAATCCCAGCACCCACATGGCAGCTAACAACTGTCCATAACTCCAGTCCCAAGGGATCCGACAACCTCTTCTGACCTCTGTGGGCATGCATGACACAGGTGCACTTACCTACATGCAGGCAATACATGCATACACATAAAATAAATAAATTTTTTTTTAAAAACTGAGATGAAGCAATATGTATACGGCTAATATGAAATTAATCTGACCTTTTAATTCTCAAAATTATACTGCCATTTAGGTAATGCCAATATTCTATAAATGTATAATGTCTCAAAGATAACTAACTTTCCGACCAACTACAGACTAAATCTTTGTGGTCCTGTTCCCAAAACTTGTCTTAGGACCTAGTTGCTTTATCTAGCTAACATTGGTAATTGCTCCACAAATCCATCTGCTTCAGTTTAAAAAAAAAAAAAAGAAAAAAAACAAGGAGAAAATAAAAAGAAAACAATTCCCCAAACAAGGCCCAGATTTAAGAAAAACATAATGTACCCGAAAGATGACAACTAGAAAATATAATGAAAGTGTTTCTAGTTCACTAAAGGGTTTTGCCCCAATTAGTAAAAATGTAAACCCTTGATTCTCAGTACTGACCAGAGAAAACAGCATTTGAAGCATGAATTAGTCTAAAAGTTAGCTCCGAGATAATTAAGCTGTGGATGTTGTAGACAAAATCATGGGCAAGAGGAATCCTAAGCTGGGACACAACTCTGCTGGCTGCCACACTGTCAAACATTCTATGGCCACAACACACTCCCTGCAGGATCTGTCGTCTGGCTGGCCACTTCTGAAGGTGGGTGAGCAGAAAGCTTTGTCTGATGACAATGAAGAAGGGGAGTTGCAAAGAAGAGACTCTGCCTGCCCTCAATATCAAGAAGTAAATCCTGTACCCTTGGGAGAACACTATGATTTATGATAAACTTACCTCAAAGAGTACTTGGAATGCTTGATATAGAAAGGCTCTCTGGGACTCAAAAATTTCAGCTGAAAATAACAGGATACACTTCATGAAGGTATCATATTGTATATAGGTTATTTATTTTACATAAAACTTTGCTTTAGAGATACACCAAAGATCACAGCTGGGTGTGGTGGTGCACACCTTTAATCCCACACCTGTGAGTTCAAGGCCAGCCTGGTCTACATAGTGAGTCCCAGGTCAGCTGGGGCTACATGGAATCCCTGTCTCAAAAAGACCACCCCCCCAAAATTAGATACAGCCAAAAAAATTGGGCAGGAGAACAGATGCTCATGTAATAAAAACAGATTTAAGGGAGTTTTAACATATACTGACTCTAGTTTTGACTAACAAAAATGTTATCCAGAGAGGCAGGCAGATCTCTGTGAGTTTGAGGCTAGCCTGGTCTACATAGTGAGTTACAGGCCAGCTGGGGCTACAGGGAGACCCTGTCTCAAAAAGATGGGGGCAAAAAAAAAAAGTTATCCAGAACTGTATCTGTGTGACAGAGAATACAGGAATAAAAAGAGCCCAGAAAGTTAAAACAATTTTTTTTTTAAAAAAGCAAGTGATTTTCAAATAAAAGATCATGAATTTCAAATATAGTAATAAGGTACTTTTAAAATTAACTTGGGGCTGGAGAGATGGCTCAGTGGTTAAGAGCACTGGCTGCTCTTGCAGAGGACCTGGGTTTGATTCCCAGCAACCACATGGTAGCTAACAACCATCTACTACTCCAGTTTGTCCTCTTCTGACCTTCAAGAGCACTGCACAACACGGGTGCACTTACATAATAGCAGGCAATACACTCATACACATAAAATTAAGAAATATTTTTTTTAAATTAACTCATTACAACTTAAATATAATCTACACAATACATTTCTTTTTGAGACAGGGTCTCCCTGTAGCCCAAGCTTGGCCAGGAGTTCCCTATGTACAACAGACCAGCCTCAAACTCAATGAGATCCACATACCTCTATCTCCAAGGCCTGTGCTACCACGCCTGGCTAGAATACATTTCTAATCATCAAAAAATTTTTTATTAAAGTCAAATGTACTAGGCTGGGTGGCACATGCCTTTAATCCCAGCACTCAGGAGGCAGAGGCAGGTAGAGCTCTGTGAGTTCCAGGCCAGTTGGGGCTACAGGGGGACCGTATCTCCAAAAGACCAAAATAAAAACCCAAATAAAGTCAAATGTATTAACTTGTTGAAACCCCACAGTAACATTTTCAACTTACTGAGTGTGTAAAAAAGGAATTGTTTCGCAAATTGACTTTCAGTGTCCTGGATTCCCCAAGTTTAGTGGGTAGGAACATGTAGACATCTTTTGGGGCATACACTCCACGATGGCTCAAGTCAAGCTGCCTGCTTTGGAACAAGTTTACAACAAAAGGCAATTATTTAGTCTGTAACAACAAACTATTTCTTAAAAAAGATTTTACTTATTTTTATGTGCATGAGCATTTTGCCTGCATGTTTATAAGTGTACCACATGCACGCAATGCTTGTTGGAGGCAAAAAGAGGGCATCAGAACCCCTGGAACTAGAGTCTTAAGAATGGATGTTAGCTGCTATGTGGGTGCTGGGAACCAACCTTAACCACTAAGTCAGCTCTCCAGCCCAACAAACTATTCTTATATTGTATATTATGTAGTGCTGCTATGCATTCTCTCTGCTAACTTTGAAAAGTGGTATTATACTGTTACTTATCCAATCTATGTGAATATGAATGATGGTGGTGGGGAGGCTCTTCTAGAGGTGCTGGGTTAGGGACACTGTGGAGGTAGCCTTCTCCATTTCTCATTGAAGTTTGGCTCACCATCTACTTCAGCTCTTGTCACCTGAACTACTCACACTGCACTCCACAGGCTGCTCTGACTTGCCCCCTCTGCCTCAGAGACAGGTGCACTTCCTTTGCTTCAGTCTGAAATTTTCAGACTTTTTGCCACTCTGCTCCCTCAACCTCTCTGCTCTTTTTTTTTTTTTTCCCCCATTGGCTTGGTTATGAACTTCAAACTGCAGCCCCGTCTCCTGTAGGTATCATTAATACTCTATACCTTAGCTCACACATGGTCACTGGGCAACAAACCTCATCTTCAGTGATAATAAAACTATCTCCCTCTGTTCTCTAAAACAACCCCACATTCCACAAACACAAAATAAACCTGTGAATATCCTCCCACCCGATCCTCTCTCTACTTGTATCTCAGAGAATGGCTCTGGGAGCCACCCAGACAACCTCTTCTTTCTCTCACCACTTACATCACTGCAGCTTCCAGGCCTCCCTCCTACACACTCAGCCAATCCACCCATTCTGTTCATGTTCCTTGATACTGTTTAAATCCTGGACTACTGAAATCCAGCCATGACTATCAGCTGCTCTGCTTGTCCTCCTTCCAGTCAGTCTAGAAGTGACCTCAAAGGTTTTTAGACATGTCTTCTGTGGCTTCTGCAGTTCTCCAGAGGAGTCCTACTCCTTGATAGACATACTTGTAGTATGTGCCTCTCCCCTTCTCTCCAGCCTCCCTCATACCACTTCACTTTCCCATGGAGGGCTCCAGAGCCCACAGTCTCCTCCGCACAGCTTGGAACTTCTACCCCTCATATGGCCTGTGTCCACCCAACCTTAACTTAAATGTCCCCTTTCAGGAAAACTCTCAGACACCACAGACCAAGCTGTCTGTCACATTTCTTGTTTACTTCCCCAGCAGTTTTCAGGGTTTGTGATCTAACACGCCAGTGTGAAAATGGGACTCCAGGGCTCCTCTATTTGAAACCTGCCACCTCTACTCGCCATCTTCAGTGCCCACTGCACGGTGAGTGCTCAAAGAATACAAGATGACCAGATGTGTGACAGCAGAAAGAGAATGGCAAGAACAATCTTTATGAAGTGTTCTAACCATTCAAACAATGCCTTAATCCTTCTATTAGAAACTGAATAAACAAATTTATATATAAAATTTAGCAGGCATTTAACACACACTCTTCCAAGAATCTTCTTCCAGAACTAAATCATACCTAATCATTAATCAGTCATAAGAAAAATTTTGAGGTAGAATAAATATTACCATTAAGGCAGTGTAAATTGGTGATATAAAATTTACATTTAAACATTTTAAGAATGGGGGCTGACTTTTGAAAAAGATGTATCTTTGCTCTGGAAATTGTTATTGAATATGCTAAAGCTGTAATGAAATGCTTCTTCTAATCATGTGGCTATTAAATTTAAAAAAAAAGGGGGGGGGCTGTGAACCTAAAAATTTACAGCCACTTTTGAAAGAGATGTATCCTTGCTCTGGAAATTGTTACTGAATAAGTTAAAGCTGTAATGAAATGCTTCTTCTAATCATGTGGCTATTAAATTTAAAAAAAAAGGGGGGGGGGCTGGAGAGATGGCTTAGCACTTACTGTTCTTCCAGCGGACCTAGGTTCAGATCACAGCACCCATAGAGTGGCTAACACCACTCCTTAACTCTGATGCCTTCTTCTGACCTCTGTGGGCACCAGACATGAATGTGGGTACACTTTCATATACACAGGCAAAATACTCATATATATAAAATAAAAATAAAGTTTTTAAAAGATTTGTTTTTATCCATTTTGGTTATGTATATGGGCCCATGTGTGCAGGTGCTTGCAGAGGCCAGGAGAGGGTATTGGATCCCTTGGAGCTAGAGTTATAGGTGGCTCTGAGCAGCCTGATAAGTGTGCTGGGAACTAAACTCTAGTCCTCTGAAGGAGCAGTAAATGTTCTTAACCACTGGACTATCTCTCCAGCCCCAGAATCTAATTTCATACTTTACTTATGGGGCTATAAATTGGCACAATCACTTTGGGAAAACCATTTGGCATCTTGTTTTAAAGGTATACATGCTGGGTGTGGTGGTACACGCCTGTGATCCCAGCACTCTGAGAGGCAGAGGTAGGCAGATCTCTGTGAGTTCAAGTTCAGCCTGATCTACAAAGTGAGTTCCAGGCCAGCTACGGCTACAGGTAGACCCTGTCTCAAAAAGACAGACAAATAAAATAAATAAATAAATAAATAAATAAATGTAAACACATGATTATCGTGTACTCCAACAATTTTGAGTAAATTACGTATATTTTATCCAAACTAAATAAAAACATTCATCTTCAGAAACGTATACATAAAATAATGTTCACAGTGCCTTAATTCATAGTAGTCTCAAATTATAGAATACCCAAATGTCAATGGGAAACTAAATTGTGATGTTCTTACAATAGAATATAAAATAAAAGAAACAAACTACAGCTATACTCAAAAGCACTAACGAAAGCAGAAGATGTTAAGCTGAAAGAAGCCAGATACAAGAGTGTACATATTTATGAGAACACAAAGGTTGTTAACTACTACAGCTCCATCTCAGGGATACTGGGGGAAACTCATATGATTGATAAACCAACTGTGTACATACGTAGATGTGTGAACAGAGGTCTCGGATGCAGCATGTCTCCGGGGCATGACTGCAGTATCTATTTTAATGAGGGTGTCTGTAGAAGACTCAGAATCTTTGGGATCATTTTCTGCTCTGATGCTCTGTATAGGAAAATCATAAGGTGAGAGGAAAAAAAAAATTAACATTCCAGAAACCACAAAGATATTTACTTCTGGGAATTTCATCACTTCCTATTAACCACTGTAAAAGGATGGGGCTAGAGAGACAGCTCAGTAGTTAAGAGCACTTGCTGCTCTTTGCAGAGGACCCAGGTCGGTTCCCAGCATCCACTGGCAGCTAACAACTGTCCATAACTCCAGTTCCAGAGGATCTGATGCTCTCTTCTGAACTCAACAGACACTGCACAAATGTGGTGCACTTACATATATGCAGGCAAAATACTCATACACATAAGATAAAATAAAAATTTTAATTATAAAGAGGCATGATTTTTAAATCCCCTGAATTGCAAACCCTATCCTGTGTATAGTCTAATTCTCCTGCCTCCAATGTAAATGTAGATA